TATATATATATATATATATATATATATATATATATATATATATACTTTTCATCTTGCCGACTGAAAATTTCTGCCACGTTTTAGAATCAATGTAATCTTTAATTAAACAATTAAAATCTCTGATTTCAGATTTCAGCTATAAGTTGATCTGATTTCTGTCAGCTTCTAGTCCTGCCTGCGAAGTTTGTAGGTAAAAATTGGATTTGTTTTAGAGCCTTGCTTTTGCAGCAAGAACCACACACACACATACATATGCTCTCTTTCATCTTTATTGACATGAAGACTGTCTCAGATCTCATCTGCTTAACTGTTTCTTTCCTAGGCGGTTTACCATTACCTTCTCGGATGTAGAGAGTACTTAACGGATCAAGTGCACCCTTGATCCTTTTTTAAAGGTATTGTGGAGGATTTTTGGGAATTTTTGAAAAGACCTGCCCTCTCCATTAAAAAAAAAAAAAAATGCACATTCACAACCCTGTACCTGCCCCCGAGGGGGAACGCCTATTAAATGCCTGAGATAGCATACACAATGCCATTTCTCCTCTTGTACACTCTGTTTAAAATTTGCTGTTTGCATCACTCATACAAGCTTACTTTCCAAAAGAAGATTTTCAATTTTTCCACTATGTCAGACTCACCACCGGTAGGTAAAAATGGGGACGAGCATGTAGGACGGCCTTACGTAAACATATCACTAAAACATATAACCAGAAGGATTCACAATTAGGAAGACCACTTATTTTGATGATCCCACTGGAAAAAGAACATCCTCCACTATACCTTTAAGTCTGTTTCTTTCTTCTTGAACCCTAAGTTGGCCTTAGAAGATTGATCATACTAACTCTGGTACTGATGGAGGTTTCTTGCTCTTAAAAGGAGTTTTACCGCTTCACTGTTGCTATATGCATGTCTAGCGTGAAGGATTGCTATAGAGTCAATGACGTAAAAGTAAATGTCTATTGCAACATCCTTATCCTGCAGGATCAAATAATAAGCCCCAATGCAAGCAGCCATGTTTCCTCAGATAAAACTTTTTACCAATAGGTCTGTTGAAACTCATACAGTAACATAGGGTTCTTGTATTGTCTGCCTTTTGAATTTCTTTGCAGCTGATTTTTAAGGCTTTCCCTAAAAAAAACCTGTAAGATTGTCGTCATCACACAAAAGATTTAGAAAAAATATGATGTATGTAGTCAAATGTTGACATGGAGTCCGTCTGATGAGACCAATTTCCTGTCTTACCTTAAGAGCCTTAAAAATGGACATAGCTGTTAAAGCCTAAAGAACTTACCTTATTAATTTATGATTAGTTTTTAAACTAAAGGTACGTTGTTCTTTCAGGGACATAAATTACTTTGATCAGGAATATTGTGGTGTTTATTTATAGGCTGAAGCATAATAAACTTTGAGTTGTGGTCTGGGATTGATTGTAAATTCACACAATAATATATTTGTCATCAAACACAATAAAAATGACATTTCTGTTCACACAAGTCCCTTTGACCCAACACAAAAACAGAACTTTTACAGTATGCAGTTTGAAACCATATTTATAGCATTGTAAATTTTGGAACTGATAACCAAAACACACTAAAGACCTGACTTTCCAGAGCAGTGCAGTTCAATGCAATTTATACTTAAAAATCTGCCATTGACTGCAGAGCTAAACCCACAAAGACTCACAAACACCGTGCTGACCTCATGGAAAGAAATAGGCAATGAGGAAAGAGGAAAAGAGGCAAAGGATAAGAGGGGAGAAACATCTAGTGATTATCTCGGTCATTGGATCTCTGTATAGGTCTGTGAGTTGAGAGGGCTAACAGGCCTTTTGTGGAAGTATCGATCTCCCGTGTGTGTAACCAGAGATACTCCTGCTGCTGTAGGCCTTAGCCGAGGCCAATCCCTTCATCTCATCAGTCATCTGACTGTAAGAATTCAGTCAGAACTGATTCTCTAAGTCATAACTTCTGTGTGCAGTTTGTTTTTATACTGTAATTACCAGTG